TTAATGGGAACAAGGCTCCAATCAATTCGTGGGGAGCAGCACGTGCTGGGAACCGGGCCCACCGTCCCATACGACAAATTACATCGAATTTGAAAAATTTGCAATACCGCGGCCATCACCCGGCTTTGGCTAAGAAAAATTGGAGCTACTTAGGAGATTACTACGACAAACTTCAGAATTGGACCAATTCCAGAAAACGACTCAGGAGCCCCCCTTCATTCCTCTGTACCTCCCTCCGGCAAGACTTACTGCAACAGAGCCACCATCTCCGTTGCTGCTGTACCCTATGCAGTAAACCGCGTTCAGCAGCGGCCTGGGCTCTTTACCTCCCCCCTTCATTCCTCTTTACCTCCCAGCGAGCAGTGCGACCCCGCGCTGCTCGGCCTCAGGCCACTGCGGGTGCTGTGTGACCACGCACAGCAAGAAATTCGAAGGTCGAAGTCAACTGTAGGTCCAGGTACCTCGCCCAGGCCCTTGGTCGTGTGCATTGACTTGTATGAGTGCAGGTACCCAGTCAGAACGGTGGACCAAGGAGGATACAGTTTCAACTCAATCCAGGCCGTCGACTACAATCAATCTCGGCCGTGTCTGACTTGAGGACTGGGGCCCAGACCCCGCCGTCAACACTACATATTGGGCTGACTTCCTGGCTTTGACATCTAGACTCTCGTCTGGAGTCTATGGGGACTCGACGCTCTCGCATCAACGCCGACTCTATGCTGTCTTGCTGGCGAGACGCTGCGGGGAGAATTTGACGACCGGCGCTCGTCGCTGGTTCGTGGCTTGAGTGTGCTGTGCGACCAGCATGCTGGCTGGCGCACTACTGTCTGAGGGGTTGTCGACGTGGCAGATGCCACGTGTCATCTTCGTGACTGCKGCCACRTGGTATTGCTGCTGAGGTGGAAGGCGCTGGGCGCCTGTATTGCTGTTCTGCTTRACAAGTACTCGGAAGGAGGAATCAGGACTGTSGTTGGGGTCGTGATACGTACCTGGTGTCTTCAACTTCGTCGTCACGCTGCTGATTGATGACTGGTCTACTGGTGCCACGTGGCACTGTTTGACTACATTGTCTTGGATGTCCGGATCTCTGATTGAGACACGATTATGCTGCTGGGAGGAGGAAGTGCCCGAAGAGGAAGTGGGCTGTAGGGAGGAGACTCTTCCACCCTCTCAAAGTCTATTMTCCCTCCTCCCTCTCTCRTCTGTGTATGCATTCTCTCTCGTTTTGGGATCATTATTATCATGATTTATCAGCAGCGTTCGTTTACTTGTCTTTGCGAGTGACGACTGATTATCACGACTGGGCACATTGCAATTTCGTATCAGAGCTCTACTTCCGACATTGTCTACTACGGCGCTCGCGTCTCTCCGACGCGATTGATAACTAGCGCGCCATTTTCTCTCCATGTTCGCGCGCGCAGGTAAGTGAGTATCGGGATGCTCTCTATCGAGCCCGACGACGTGCGCGAAGGATATGGTGATGACGGGCAGTTTATGCCTGCCAAACGATGATTGATTGCTGACGTGGCACATCCACGTCCACTCGAGATATTGAGTGGGAACTTCTTGTCATGTGTTGATGCTATCTCGCCGAAGAAATAGAGTTGACGCATTGCTATTTCGCCAGCCAGAGACGAGTAGAGCTGTTGATTGGCTCTTTGATTACTCGCTGGCATTGGCGAGATCAAGCGCTGACGTGGCAGACTTTGATTGGACTTGGGAAGCGGCGAGCAGATTTGTGAAGCGCATTCCCCGTCACGAACAGATCCGGGTAAAGAGAAACCGCGGAGCGTCCAGCATTCATTGCTGAAGCCACCCCCACGATCTTTGATTGGTTTGAAGTGCTGACTTGGTGAAAGCTGAGTTGGCATACCGGGGGGTTTGGCCGAAGCAGGCACGATGTGCCTTGGGAAACGATTGATGCATTCCGACGCTGGGAGCGGCACGAGCGGCAGACTTTGGCTTGTGGTGCTTGTTTGCTGTCGGGGTGATTAGAGTGCATGCTGACGTGGCATTGTGGGGAAGACTGACGTTGATTGGTTGTGTTGTCGGTACTTACCTGTTGTCTGGCTGTGCGTGCACACRTACSYRTGAATGCTAACGATCTTGGCCTGCTCGATTACCTGGAAGAGGAGTCATCACACGAATAGGAGAGAAAACAAAATTAGAACAGCTTATAGAAAAGACATCAATCAAGAGAATAATTAATTATTTTTATTTATTTATTTTCTTGTGAATCCTCTGCTGTACTGACGATTGAGTGGTTGTCCAGCCATCAGATAATATTGTCTGTTTCATTTTTATTTGAGAAAGGATTGGCCTGTTAAGTTTCCTGTTGATGTTGATCATGGCACCGATTGCTGAGCACATGCGTCAGTCTATTATGACCCGGTGGGTGCCTCGTTTGTTCGGACCTGGGCAAGTGCCTTATGCGGTGGGAGCAAGTAGCTCCTCGATTGAGCCGCGTACACGTGCCCAGATCAAGGCACGAAGAAGTGAACTGGGAGAGCTCCTCTCCCAACTGCTGGTGGATATTGAGTTTGTTGTCCCTGCTGCAAGAGACCTCGATGCGATCTCTGATCGTTTGGCCAAAGCTATCACGGGTGTGGAGATGATAGCAGCAGCGACTGAAATTCAGAAGGTTATTGACCAGTGTCGTCAGATACTAGACCAATTTACCATCCAGCAGTTGGAAGAAATAGCTCAGCGAAAAGATGGTACGCCAGAAGTGAAAGTGGAAAGCATTGAAGAGAACATACAACAGTTAAAGGAGACACTCGCGAAAGAAGAAAAGAAGCGAGAAGAACTGTWGCAAATGAAAGAACAGGAAACTAGGCTACARCAGAGAATGGGTAAAGTTCAGCAGCACGTTTCTTTGGATGAGAAGGATGTCGCCCAGACGCTGSKGMAAATACTGACGTATTTGGCTTTTCTTGAAGAAAAATTGGACCAACAACAATCTAGAATGGATGAATTGGTTGTTGGTCTCCATGTCATTACTAGCATTGTCAAGGGAAAARCCCCTGTGCTTGAAAATAATGAAGAGAAAGAAGATAAAGAAAGAAAAGCGKACGTCAAGCCCGAGAAGTTGCTTCTTGGTGGAATGAAAAACGGCGACACAACGAAGAAGGAAACGGTAAAAGAAACCGAGAAGAAACAAGAAGAGAAGAAACCTGATGGGAATGGCAATGGAGATGGGAATGGGAACGGGAATGGCAATGGGAATGGTGGTCCCTCCGGTCCCACTCCCTCTTCCAAGGACAATGYCAAACCTGCAGATCAGACTAAGCCAAAGAAAAAAGAAAAGGTGAAGATGAAATTGCCTTTTACTTTTTCTAATAAGAAAGAAGAAAGCCTTCCACTCTGGATCGCAGAGATCCAGACCTATGTTGGGACCTCACCGGTAGAAGAAGAGTCGCAAGTTGCGTTCACCACTTCTTGTATGGGGGGTGAGGTGAAGCAATGGGTTCTGGCGGAAGCAAATGCCGCGGGGTTTGACGATATAGGTGAATGGGCGAAGACTATGACCGTGAAGCAGTTCCTTGCAAAAGTCAAGGACCGCTTTTTGGACAAGACTACAGCCGATAAGGCCTTCGACCAACTCACCACGATAGGACAGAAGTCCTGGTCTTCACTTGAGTCGCTGTCTCGTGAGGTTGACCGACTGTTGCAGGTTCCCGGTCTTAACCTGCAGGATTCTCAGGTCCTTTTCATTTACTCGCGTGCATTACCCGAACCGATCCGAGGGCACTTGGTCGCCGAGGCCAAGTCCGGTAAGTATAGTTACCGTCGGCGCCAAAAGCGCCAGGACCATACCCTCGTCGTATTCGACGACGATACAATGGAGAAATGGCCATTGGAGAACGAGGGTGGTGGTGATAGCAGCAGTGACCCCGGAAAGGGGGAGGTCACCGCTGCGACGGTCAACAAGGGAGGATCGTCATCGAACAATCGACCGAAGGGAAGACCATGCTCCTTCCCGCACCATCCTAGGATTGCGGCCTGTAGACCGTGGTTGAAGATGGGATTAACCCAGGAAGTATGGTAGGATAGGATGGACAATGCACAGTGCCTCAAGTGTGGCACTGCGGGGTATGTCATTGCCTATTGTCCTTTGATTAGAAACCCAAAAGGGAGCAGCCAGTAAGAATAACATATGTTCCTACAGAGTCGGAGGGTGCGATCACATGCGAGGCGCCTACGATCCCTTTCCACACTTCGACTCCCGTGGCAGAGGATGGAAACCCTTTCGCCTGTCGTTCAGATAACCCCACTCCTGTCTTATGCCTGCCTCTGGACGACTCCCTTGACGAGCTGGGTAGCGAGCTAGTCGCGTTACGCAGTTCGTGTGCAAAGAAAGCCAAGTCTAAGGGGGAACTATTGATTGCCGATTTGGTTGTCAATCGCACACACGTTGGTGCGATGCTGGACCCTGGGTCCACACGATCTTACATGTCTGAACGTGC